AGTAATCCTATATTATCCATTACACACAGGTTATTTTGGAGTGCGGTGGAATACTTTCTTTAAAGTGACAAAAACCTTTTTGCTTTAAGACAGAAATAATGCTTCAACTTCGTGGCTGTCTGTGTTTTGTAAACAGCCAATAAATCTGAATGCTTTTTTTTTTTTTTTTTTTTCTGTTAGAACAAGGTTAAAATTGCCAAACACAGGTTGAGGTTGTGAAACACTTAAGGTAAAATGAGATTTCAGTAATGCACAGAAGCATCAAATCAGGTGCATGTGTTTGAAAAGCTTCAGCGTTTTGTTTTTCCCATTGTCATAAAATCCCGCATTTCCCAACTTCAGACCAGAAGAAATAGAATTTTAGCTAGCCAATAACTTATATTTTTGCTTTTTTTTCCCTCAAATCACTCCACATTTGCATATATTTAAATAATGATTAGTATTTTTAAGGAATGACTACAAAAATAATTTTTTAATATATCATTTGATTTGTAGTTTTCTACATAAAGCAATGGAGACAGAGGAGGCAAAGGACCAGCTGGCAGATGGGCACCAAGCTCCAGATCTCCAGGTGACATGGCTGCTCCCATCTCTCCTCTACTGCAGGAAACGTGGTCAGTGACTAATAAGCATTTATCAATCTCTGCTTGAGATACTTGCTGAGAAACAGAGGTATCAATGAATATTTGAACTGAATTAATGCAAACAAAACAAGTTTTTGCTCTGTTGCCTTGTTTATGTAGAGTACTTCTGCCTGTAAGATCACTTGTGAATGCCAGTTGACCCTACATGCTGAGAAGGGGACATCAGTGAGATGAACTAATTAGTATGCCGTTAATTGCGCTTTTTCTTAGACAAAAGTTTCCACTGCACTTGTTGCTTTGAGGAACAAATCAAAATATCATTGATTCTCTGCAGCTGTACTTGATAAGTAGAGTATAGGTCTAATTCACAACCCATTGCAATCAATTAAAGGGATTTCCTATTGATTCTAAAAGGGTATAGATTGCTTTCTAAACCTAACCTGGTTGGTGCTCTATCTTCTCTTCACCTGTTTTCCTTTCATTATGTTTTATGCCCCTTCATCCTCTATGGCTGCTCTGATGGGAAGGGCCAGGCATGCTCCTCAGCAGATGACGTGAGGATGCTGTGTTCGTCCCCCTCCTCTTGCTCCGCCCAGGCCATAGAGGAGCCACCAGATGTAGACCATGTGCTTTTGGCTTCAAAAGAATGAGCCACAACCTGTGGCATGGGGTTTGTGATACAGACTGGGAGCCTGAGGCAGGGCTTACAATAATGCAGTTTGGGTGGTCCATAAAGGTAGCAGCGAGGATCACTGGACAAAGCAGATAAGCCATAACCGTGGAGTGTGTTGTGCTGCCTTGCTGTGTCCTAGCATAGAGAAAAGGGCTTGCCAGGCTGGTGTGGAAATCAGCAGCACCTGGAACATTGGTATTTACCTATGCAAGCAGGCAAATGCTGCACTGGGCAGCCGTGAGAATTTGTGCACGCGCACTTTCAACTCTATATGTGACTGATTCACTGCAGTCCAATTTCTGCTCTTCCATCAGAAAAGCAGTCTGAGCATCCTTAATGGCTTTTAAAATTGAGTTGTGCTGATGACTCAGAAGAAAGTATAGCTGAAGATGGAACAAAGTCACAGTTTGTGTGTGACTGCCTGAATCATCACTGTTGGCATTAGTAGGCACACGGTCCAGTTTCATTCAAGTTCACTCCAGTTCTATTCAAGTTCTCAGAAAGTTTCTTTGAAACTGAGGCTCCCCAGTACCAGAGAAACTGGAGTGCCCTGCTTAGAGCAGATAGATGCTTCCTGTCATTCAATCAGCAGAAAAGATGGGCAATGCTTCAAGTTGCAAATACTTGATACTTCCAGCAGCTCTGAAAGAAAATGTAGAATTCTAAAACCGGAGTTTTACTGAGGGATCTCAAATTGAATGATTTGAGAGAATTTGTTGGACTCCTTTCAAGTGATATGTACAGAAAGATAAACGTTCTTTGGCTCCTATTCTATCTTTAATGTACTCCAGAGATAAATACTTTGTTCCTAACAGCCAGCTCCAACTTCATGTATATGGATTTAAAGCCTAGCAGAGATTACTCGAGTTTACTTATTTAATAAACTACATTGAAGTGTCAAGAAAGGAAAACACACACTTGTTAATTTTTTAGATTGTAAAATTCCCTCTGGTGCATTATCACATAAAACATAATATTTTGTTTAAAGAGAAAAAACAAATTAGCACATCTATCCCAGTGTCTCTTCTGTTCTTCAAATCACCCATTAAGTTCGCTGCAGTCTTACCAGTTCTACAAAATGCTGAATTTTGGCATTGGCAGAGATCCCAGTTTGTCATGGTCAGGAACTGGATTTCTTTTTTCTTCCAAAAACCGCTGGATTTCTGTGTTTTAGTTTCCTAAGTTTAAAAATACGCACTGTTTCAAAGCCTTTGCCCAAGTAATATTTTGGGGATAAGCATCTTACCTTGCTGGAATTAAAGACAAACTAATATCTGACTATTTTTTTTTCCATTTCAATTTCATACTGACTCCCTTCCACATTGAGGACAGGTGGAATATGCTGGGATTTTCCAATTGTACTTGTTCTTTTCAGAAGAAACAGGGTTGGAAGCAGCATGCTCCATTGCAACATTGTCCCATCACTTTCTTCCAAGGCAGCAGCGACCCTGTATCCTGCCCCACATCCTGTGCTTGGAGCCAGGCTGGCCTGGGGTAGAGCTGCCAGGACACTGCTCCAGGCCTGCCTGCCTGCCTGCCCAGCAGCAGTGCTCTGCAGGTTGTGCATAGCCCAGAGCCATATGCTGCATGGATCTGCCACACATGGGGTATCCTTTCAATACAACCACAGGATCAAATCCTGAACTCATAATCATTTGCCTGTTATTCCTTGCTCGAGCACTTTCCTTCTGGATTCCATGGGAGCATGCTTTCAGACTGCATTAAGAGTTTAGAGAGCCAGAGCAAGGGGATCTGGAAATGCCCTTGCATTTATATAGCAAGGCACTCTGCCCTTGCTACCTGAGAGTTGTTTATCCAGCACATCCACTTGTTTTGCAGAAACGTTTGCCACCTAATGACTAAAGCAAAGCAGGGATTGCTTTATTAGCCCAAGCTCAATGCTGAGAAGAGTTTGTTGTGCCCACGCATGGCCACTTTTCTGCTACTGGAGCAATGCTCTAATGCAGTGGTGCGTTCTGAAGCAGATTCAGTACTTGGCTGTCTTTATTTCTAAACAATTGCTTTCTCTAAGGAGCATAAATAATTTTTGCCACAGGTATGGGGTTTGCCTGTGGGAACACTCAACTGTGCGTTCTTCAACCATTCTCCTTGTAGCAACAGAGCAGATTTTTGCAGTTTTTCCCTTTGGTTAGGAATGGTTGATGCTAAATGAATATACAATTGGATTAAGTATTTGGCTGCATGTGTCTGCTTTCTTTTCTGCTTAGGCACTTACCAGTTCATGCACATTTTTTCCATAAAGCTAGATAATAAATACTCCATGTAAATACAGATGCATATCCATGCTATGTTTAATTTTTGCTTGTGGAGCAAAACATCACTTTAGAGATCTTTCTTGGCTTCAGATTATGATATTTCCAAATCCACACCCCAAAATAAGCAGTCCTGATTCTTTGATCTGGCATTCCCAATGCTAGCAGGAGCTTGTTGCAACGTTTGTGCTGCAATAAATCTTGCAAGTAACATTTCTCAGAATCAAATCAGAAAGATGTTCCCTTTCCCATGTTGTCCTTGTTGCCTGCTTTGCCATTTATTCCCATGTATCTGCACAGTGCAGACCTGGTTGTGGTCAGCATTGGGACAGCAGTGCTGCCCAGGACAGCCATCCTCTGCTGGAGCTGCAGCAATGCAACAGCGCTGTCTTGAGGGGAGGTGTTGGGATGCTGTGCAGCTGAACCTCGTGTGGTGGTGGTGGCATATGGCCATTTTGGAGTAAACTGAAACACAGCTGTGGGTACATTTTCAGCTGGGTTATAACTGCATAGGACCTGCCCTGGAGCCAAAGGGCCATTCTTTCCCCATCACAGAACTTTTGAAGCCGTTTCCATCCTTTTCTTCCTTGCGCCTGGCTTGCAGGGCTTAAGTTACAGTTATATGGCCTTTCCTACTGCTTCCGCGTTTCCTTCAAGAGTTCTTGAGCAAGATGCTGGGACTTGGAAGCCCCACACACCGCGGTGGCTACAGCTGCAGTGCGCAGCATCTCCGGTTGAACAAACATGGATTATTAGGGGATGTTTTTGGATAGACCTCCCCCGACTTCGGGAGGTCAGGAAGGTTTCTGCAGGGCAGCAGCGTTAAAGTCCCGCTCCCGGCAGCGCGTTAGGAAAGCCTCCCCCTGCGACCGCCCCCTCCTCGCGAGGCAGCGGTACGGATCGATAAAGTGCACCGCACGGAGAGCAAACGAGGGCAGCGGCGGGGAAAGTTCCTCACCTGCGCCCTCCGAGGAGCGGGGGCAGCCATGGGCCGCCCGAGCCCGGCGAGCAGCGGCGCGGCCCCGCACCGGCCGCCGGGGGCGGCAGCGGGCGGGCGGCGGGAGGGGCGGCAGCGGGGAGGGGCGCGGGCCCGGCCGCTCCTCCCGGGGAGCGCTGCCAGCGCGGCGCCGGCTCCTTCGGCACTTCGCGCCCGGCCCGCGCAGCCCTGTTGCACCCACCGCCGCCCCCTCCCGCCCGGCGGGACCGCTGCCGCTCCGCGCTGCGTGCCCCCGCCCCGCGCCCGCCGGGGAGGCTGCGGCGCTCCGTCCGTCCGCGCCGGGCGCGTGGCTCCTTTGTGTACTGCAGCTGCTCCTGAATGCGGAGGCGAAGCCCGTGGCTCGGCACCGAGCTTTTAAAAACCGGCAGCCCTCCTCCCGACCTGCCTCCCCTCCTGCCGCCGGGCGGACGGCTCCCACCTGGGCACCGCCGCTCCCCCCCTCCCGCCTACCTGCGCCCGCCGCATCCCCGCGCTGCCCCGGCCCCGGGGAAGGCACCTGAAGGTGGATCTATCACAGCTCACGGCCGGCTCTCCAAGTGCACTTCTGGGACCAAAGCACCGTCATGGATGTAAGATTTTACCCGTCCGCGGCGGGCGGCTCGCTTCCCGGAGACCCCTCCAACCTGGACTTTGCCCAGTGCTTGGGCTACTATAACTATAACAAGGTGATTACCCCAGCGCTCGGTCGTTCCTCGGGCTGGGGCGGGGGGGGGGACGGGGGACGGGGGACTAGAGGGTCCATGGAAGCTCCGGAGCCGCGCTCTCGGCTCCCCGGCGGGCGCAGCTCCCGGCCCGGCCCGGTGCCGAACAATGGGCGCTCGGCTGCGCCTCTCCGGGACGCGCTCAACTTTTCGTTCTGCGGCTCCGCGGGTCGGGCAGAGCTCCGCGGGGCGGGAAGGGACGATGCCGGCTCCGTGCCTGTGGGACGGGAGCGAGCGGGGAATAGCTAAAAGTGCATCAGCGCTGAAGGTGACGGACGCCTGAATGTGACGGGGTTGTCAAAGAAGTTGCGGTACCACTTCTATTTATTCACACCTTCTTTGCGGCGCGTGTAGTTTGTTACGGTCGGAAGCAATAGTGGTTCCCCTGCGGCTTACCTTCCTTTAGAAATACGCTTTAATAATGCGGAGATGATTTGTTTCACAAGTTACCCACATGTGGGAAAGGCGAAGTTAAGAACGGCGCTGTGACTCACGCTATTTTGCCAAAGACTTCGCTGTTTGCGCTGCGATGTGTCAATAGCACATTGAGCTATTAGCAGCGGGCCCTCACACATGCACATAAAGATCCCTTTCACGCCGTGTTTTCCTGGTGCTGTGTTTGTCCAACCTCTGGGGCCTTTTGTGAGGCGCCGGGCGAGATGCTGGGCGAAAGGGTGCCGCGCTAAGTCTGAACTCGCACGAAAAGCTGCTCTCTGCTATAGTAGAGCCCTCTCTCAATAGCTAGGCGAAGTTTGGTGGAACGCAAAGATCGCTTTCAGAGGGGAGAAATAACGCGGGTTCAAGTGAAGAGGATTAGCAGCTGAATAAAACTTTCTCCTAGAGGAATTCCTTCTAACTAGGTGACGCGAGTGCCTTTCGCTGTTGCTTTTTATGACCCGGCTCTCGGCTGCTGCCCCGTTGGAGCCCGGCGGTGCCGCTCTCAGGCTGTTCTCCCCCCCCCCCCCCCCGAGGCGCGCGCACGTACGGTGCGGGGATGCAGAGCGGCGTTCGCGCAGCGTGCGGCAGCACTGCGCATGCGCGGCGCTGGCTCCATTAGCATGCTGCTTTGTTAGTAGTTAATACAGAGAGACACGGGAGCATGAATTAAAGATGAAACGTCAACCTTAACCTCGAACGCTGCTAAGGACTTCAAGAGCTCTAAACTCTAAAACAGAGTGTAAATATTCACTGTTGTCAGAGATGCCGACTAATTTTGGAAACTTACAGTGCTTTCTGACAGACAGCATTGCTTACTGCAAATCTCGCTTGTTCAGGAGCTTGGTTGTTACGCACGGAGTGTGCTTATCTCAGGAGCTGTTACAGTTTGTCGTAAGGGTCCTTCTATTATTATTTTTGTAATGTCCAAAATGTTGAATGCTTTGAAAACCAGAAGTTAATTGCGTCTGTTAACTTGCAGCAAATGCAGAATTATTTATAACCTTTCTGCTGTGTTTCCCTTCCTCGTACAATGAGAACAGAGCACACATTCAGGATAAGTCAGAAGTACCCAACTCTTGACCTATCCAAAAATACAGTTTGGTTTCTGTGCTCCTGAATGAAATCTTGGCAATTCTTTTGCAGCCCAGGCTTCCAGTCCGTGGCAGAACGTATGTCAGTGAGTGGAGCACGGCTCCTGCTGCCTATGTCCTGTGATGGGTATCTTGGCACGTGGCAGGCCTGGCGTGGGCAGACACACGGAGTGGGGCTGTTTGCTGTGCTCTGGGTGCAGGTGCTCCCAGGATGGGTGAGGAATCTGAGTGAGTTCCTAGAAAGGAGGGCTTTAGCTGTGCTGAGCTAATCTTATCGTCTCTGTCCTTTATAATCTGCAACAGGAGCAGATATGGTAAGGTTGGTTTGTTTTTGTTTTGTTTTGTTTTGTTTTGTTTTTTAAACCTGCGAATAAAAGGAGAGCATTTATTTTGCAGCTTTCTGCACTGCTTTGCTTTCCATCCATTCTTCCCTTTCTTTTCCCTTCTTTTCTAAGGAAAATAAATGATTCCTCTGGCTGGCACTGAGATGATCAGAAGGCACAGAAGTTTAGCTGAGAGATGTACCCTGCTGAATTAAATGGGAGAACTGTTACTGATTTCACTGGGGACACTATTTCACCTCAAATCTTTCTGGAGCTCATTTGAGCATCCTGCCTGCTTGTCTGTGCTGCCTGATTGTGCTCTTCCCTGATGCTGCCTGTGACAAGCAGGCAGGGGTGAGCGTGTTGCGTGGTTGGATGTATCTGCAAAAGCCCAACTCTTTATGTGAAGGCACTCTCAGGATCACCAAGACACAGCACTGATGGCATATGGTGTACCTGTGGCAAACTGTACTTTGTAGCAGTGTCTGCAAACGTTGAACGTGAGGCCTCTTGCTGTAACCACGATGGAGGAGCAGGGCTGCTGCACAGGCTGCTGTACTTCGGGCTGCACCTTGGTCCCTTAGTGTGACAGCCAGGCCCTACACCAGGCCTGGCCTCTGGGCAGCAGTGTAAGGGGTCCAGGCCTTGTGCAGGTGCCCTGGGGCTGGGTCCTGCCCCACAGCTCCCTTTTAAGCTCTGTGTTGTTCTTTTGAAACCCTCTGTCCATACTGGATGGGGATTCTGAAGGTTAGGGGTTGTCGTATTGCTTTTTTGGGGAGAGCATTAATTTGAGCACAAGATGGCACTCAAAAAGGGGCTTAAAGTAAGTGTGGTTGGGACCACAAGTTGTGGTGGAGCTTCTACAAGTGTCCAGGCTGGGGTTATTTCTGTCTGGATAGTGGGCAAGGTGGTAAACATGCAGAAGGGGAGAAAGAGGAAACAGGGAGATGGAAAGACGGCGATTTCTCCAAGGTTACGCCGTCGGTCACTGACATAATCAGGGCCACAACCAAGGTATTCTGAGACTCAGCCCAGTGGTTTATGCTGAATCTCATTTACTCTAATAGGATTACTTACATGTTTAAAGTAAAGCATGTGCTTAAGTGCTTTGCTGGATCAGGGCCATATTTGATAAGTTTTCAGTGCTGGTGTGAGAGTCCATAACTTGACCCCACATGTGTCTGGCTGCTGGTGGTTTGGGATAGCAGCAATGCACCTCTGTGCCATGGAGTTGCAGGAGCACAGTCTGTTTCTAGAAGGCTCCTGCTGCTTTGTGTACAAAAAAAAAATCACTGAAAAGTAGCTATAAAAACTACAGAAAGTTGAAGGATGCCAGCTGTTGTAAAACATGCTGCTCCTGTTTTGAGCCCTTTTATGGCTCTGCTGATGGAGAGCAATTCTGGACATTTGGTATAGTTTTGTAGATTTTTTTTTTTTTTTTTTTTTCCTAAACAAACTTTTGCACTTATTGAGTAAATAACATGTCTTGTACTAGAAATATTTCGGGAGCTACCATTCATCATAGCAAATATATATATGTGTTTTAGAGAAACCATAATTCTCATGATGTAATTTGAAAAGGAAAAAGACAACTCCAAACCCTGGACGCGTACTGCTCAGCCCATGAGTTATCATTGTATGAAATTCCAGAATCCTTACTTCATTATTTAGCTGTCTACATTTTATAATGTTTATCTCTCCTGTACAGATTGTCCTCAAAGGATACAAATTTCAAACATCCGTACCTTAATTTAGGCACCAGCATACATGTGTGAATGTCAGAGCTTGATGTTTTTGGCTGAAATATTTTGCATTTTACAAAAGAAGCTCAGGAAGGTTATCTTGTTCTTCCAGAGGTAAAGAACAGATAGCAGTAGGTTAGCAGCATGCTCAGCTGTGCTATAAAGCCATTCCTATTAGCACACATTCGTAGCAAAAATGGATTACAGTTATGCAAACGATTGAAAATTACTCTCCTTGCAGATTTAGTGTGCCTACACATGCATAGGTTTTTCTTTCATACAGCAGATGGTGAGAGACAATGAGTGCATGTATGCTGTTAAGACAGAAAGCTCAGCGCTCACTCATCATCTGCTCTGCATGTATGCTGGTTCACATCTGGGCTGTGCTGCGGTGTGGGCACGGCGGTTCCTTTCCTGGTGAGAGCGGTTTGTGAGCTGGGAGCTGCTGCGTGCTGTGGCGTGTGAGCAGCCCTGCTCTGCCCGTGCCGAGGCCGGCCCAGGGAGATACGCACCCAGCTTTGTCTCGGGGCTTGGGAACTTTCTGTTGTTTTGACTAGCAGCTCCGTAAATGCCATTTTATCTTTGGTGTTTCCCATTGATCTTCCGACACACATGGCAAGTGTGCTGAATGGGTTCTTTCCCAGAACAGCCTTCCCCTGCCTCTCATATCTCAAAACCTCAGGACTATGCAGACAACTACTGCTGGGAAAGAAAAAAGATCCCCAAATATTTGGCCGCCCGTGAGGGATGTGTGATTCCCTGTGCTTGCAAGCAGAAGTGTGAGGATCCCATGAGTGTGTCCACAAGGAGACAAACTGCCCTTTGTAACACCACCCCCACTTGCCTTGCACTGTCCTACGGGCACAGTCACCTCCAGATTTGCAAGGAGTTTTGCAAGGAAACCCATGGATGCCAGCGGCAGCAACTGTGCCAGACCCTGCATTGCATGGAATGAGTTCTTATAGTGGGGGCACTAACTGTATTGGGAACTGCAACTTTTCTGCTCTAATGCTGCAAATCCTGTACGGAATGCACCCTCGGTTATCAAGGCCTGAGGAGGAGCTGGTTATATACAAAGTTTACTTAGGAGAAACCGTTTCTTCCTGGTGATTAAAAAAACAACAACCCAACACCTGTTAGTTGTTACAGTGGATTACAATTGTATCAGTAAGACACTTGTAATAATGCACAGCAATATACCAAGCGCTTGAGTAATCAGGAGTACTTTCACTGTGTGCAGAAAGGATAAGCAAGTGCGTTTTTAAAGTCCTGATAGTTTGAAGTAGCTGTAGCAGCTCTGCTGTGTGTGTCAGGGACCTGCTCACACCTCTGCTTCTGTGGTGAGGGATCACCGAGTGCTGTGGGTGAGC